TAGTGATGGTAATAGTAGTGATGGTAATGATAGTGATGGTAATAGTAGTGATGGTAATAGTAGTGATGGTAATGGTAGTGATGGTAACACTAGTGATGGTAATGATAGTGATGGTAATTCAAGTAAGTGGAGTACAATTTGGGAAATCAAACGAGTGTTACAAAATTGAACGACCGTGTAGCGAAGGCACAATATAACGTTAATCACAGAATTGATTTTAGACCAAAATTGCACATAAGGAAATATAATTACCACTTAATTATATTCATTTTGAAATCTCCCGCAAACTAATACTATATTTAGAATTTAATTTCAATGTAAAATGCAGTCAAAAAACTGTTTATCTGCTAGAAAATTCCCTTCAAATTTTTTCTCGTGCTTTCCTTTGGCTTTTTTCTCTGATCTGAAATACTAAATGTTTTCTGCAATTCATTCTTCGATTGCACGTTACGGCATCAAAGCCTCACGGGAGAGCTTGGTGCCATTTAACGAAAGATTTCTTATTCGCGTCCATTTTTAACTGCACCACAACGGTCGACATGCTTTTGTATTTTAACTTTCTTGGGAATGCTTCCCATCCATCAATTGGCTCTTCAATAAATGTGCGATTCGTGAATAAATCGCACTGCTCACGGCCAATCACGTTACAGGAATCACCATTGATTTCAAAGTGGATATGGTTAAAGAGAAAATACGTCTTATAGATAATCCTGAGGTTTAGGTCACATGTCGCATCTTAACTATCATTTATGGTGGCGCTAGTTTGTTATGTATTCCTAATGGTGTCTCAGTATGCTTACCTTGTCACAGGCTTTAAGTACGGCTTCGTCGTTCTTCCTAATGTTCTCGGCCATGGCCTGGGGCCAAGTGTTGGGGCTGGTAGACTTCAACGATTTCTGATCACAAAAATGTAAGGGCATTGAGATTTTTTTAAATGGACTTGAAATAATTGCTTTAGCTATTGTCGTTATTATTACAAAATATATACAAGAATAAAATGGAACTTTTAACAAATAGCGATGGAACAACTCTCACCTTGAACAAGTGATGCAGTTGGTCAATGAAAAAGAAATATATCAATGCTGGTTTGTAGACATTATAGGCCTGGACAGTAGAGTCTTGAATTCTATGGATAACAATAGCAAAAATTATGAGACCAATTAAGATAGTGGTGGGATCAGTAGGCAGCCTGACTAATGTTGAATATATTATATACTTGTTTTAATACCTTGTGGAACCATTCGGAGTGAGGTGCCTCACATGTGCAGTCAAGATGAGCCGTTTTAGCAATGTCAATCTGTTTTCAACCCATTGATCGAGTGAATATACGAACAGTGACAGAAGGCTCACATAGTATGGACTGTCGACCTGAAATAAGTATTAAAATGGCAATAGCTAGTTTGGGAAAAACCTGTGGACATTTTCATTGCAGTCTACGACAAATCTGATAGCAATACCTTGGGAGAACAAATTATATGGAAAGTTGCCAGGAAAAAAAAAACCATTTATTATTACTCAGAATCTTTGATTTGCAGAAAAGTTTAGTAAAAAGCGGTTCTATTAACGTGAAAGCGCAAAGTTTACAATCAGCAATGAGGGTAGTTACCTCGAATGATGATTCCACCCACTTGTCAGGAGGCGTCTCAACAAAAGATTTCAAAGTTTTCTCTTCTCTAGTCCGCTGTCTGGTCCTGAAAAACGCCAAAAAATTTACTTCCTTTTTTAACAATGATAAACCGATTATTAATCCTTAGCCAATATTCTGTGAAAATGACGAGTAAAATTCATGTCTTTGCCAGTACATGAAAACACCCTTAAGGAATAGTACATTGTGTAATGACGTGCTTACGTGTTAAGGACGTAGAGAATCATATGTACACCGTACGGCAATAAGTGCATGTTACTCTGTCGTCCCCCTCCACCAGTATCATCGCTAAAAGAACGCTCAAAGGCAAATCGCTGTAACAACAATCGTAGGTCGTGAATGGCCAAGTAGTAGTTGGGCTCGATGTGTCCGGTGCTTTCCTGTATGTAGCTGTTATGCCTAGAAACCAATGAGTTTTGCATTAGTTTTACTAATTCAAGATCAATGGTTGTTCCACTGACATGAGTAGCAATATGTAATGACTGATTTGAGCATGACATACCTGGCAAGACAGCTGGCGAATGCGGACTCAGAAACCTGTGGACCCCATATAGGCAACAAGCCATTGCACTTGGTGTTTGCGTTTTGTAAGGCAGCACTTTCCCACTCGTCACGACCACGTGCCAACCTTTGGATAAAAAGAATGGGAATCATAAATATACTGCTGTCCGTTCTGAAGATGATTTCATTGGCAAATCTCACCTGACAGCAGCCATGTGACAGTCGTAGTGTACGATATTAAAGTGGCTCACAGTACAGTATCCCTGACGACCAAATAGAAATGAAAAACGTTAGTCACTATAGCAGAAGCCACAACTACAGGGTTTTAAATTACTGCAATTGACACCTCTATTAAGCCCCCCGGGGGTATATTCTTTTTCAGTGCTTTTGGACTGAAGGCTTATTAGAAGCGGGTGGGGGCTTTTTCGAGGTCGGGGCTTAATAGAGGAAATGCGGTATTTGCTATGTACCTGTGATTTTCGTTGTTTTGTTTCAAATTCCTCTAAAATACACCTCTTGGAAAACGTGTAAATACCAAGAACCTATAACGATAACAACAAATAGATTAGTAGGCTGGAACCGAAGATTACATTACACTTAAATGTTTTTTTTATTCCACAAACACAAAAAGCAACAGTAATACTGAACTAAGGAGGACCAACCTTCTGGGGATGGTACTTGTAACCCTCACGACAAATACAGCAGGCAAGACCAGACTCTTCTGACAAGTCTTCCATCTCACGTGTGAGACTGGTGGGCTTGGCTATGATCTTATCTCCAGCTGTAGTCTATAATACAACAGACAACGTCAACTAAGCATAGGAATAATGGACTTAGCCGGCTGTTTCAAATGCCCGAATTAGCAATGTATGTAAGATGTCATGCGCGAAGATTGTTGCGAGTTAATATTAAACTATTTACCATATATGGTAAATAGTTTAATATTAAAGCCGATCAAATTTTGTAGAAGAGATAAACTTGGTTGAATCGAGAAGGAGATCGGGCGCAGCGAGTTCGCATAAACTAGAAGACCTACATTTACTAGAGGGGTCG